CACAAAAAAAGTAAGTCACAGATACAAGCAAAATATGGGCAATCTGGCTTTAATAGTCAAAGTCAACATCTGCCCTGTGGTGGGACCCTCAGAGACAGACAAGACATGGGCTAAGATGTGACCCCTGCAATTCAGGAGAGGGGTTTCCTCTACTGAATGCTAAATTCAGGCAGGTTTAGAGATGAATGAAAACTGCACACCATAAGGGACGGCCAGGAATAGAAAGCCCATGTGGGGGAAGAACGCTCTAGATGTAGCAAATGCATTTCCAAGAGGCTTTTATCATTCTTATTTTGTCACTACTATCAACAATAATAAGAAAAGAGCTTACAGAGCAGCCTCCCCAATCCCTAAGCAATGCATCCAGAGATTAGCAGCAGAGAGCAGTGGGCAGCAGAGAAAAGCTGTTCAAGGAATGTAGAGGCATGCATAATGAGATTATGGAATTGGAGTTGCATGTTTTCAAGGATAAATGTGATATTATTGCACTGGCAAAGGCATAGCAGGAGCAGGGGAAAGGATGAGAAATAGCCTGTCAGAAGAGAGGGATTGCTGCAGTTGAGCTCCAACAGGACAGGGACAAGTGGGAAGTGGAGGCAGCGAGGAGGAGAGGAAGTGCACATCCTACTTGACATGCAGATATGCAGAGAAGCTTTTTGCAAAGTGGGTGATGTCATCGTGTTTTTCTCAGCCTTCAGGACAGCAAGAGAAAAATAGATGAAACCAGCACATGCAGAGGAGTCTGTAAGACGAGTAGACTTTCCCCCTCCCCTCTGTGCAACACTAATTGCTCAAATATTGATCAGGGAAATAATTTGTGAGGACTAAAGGAGGAAAAGAAATCCTTTCTTCTTAAGAGGCAAAAAGGGCAATGTTTTTGCAGAGTTGCTAGAAAGGTCCAGGTGATCAGAGAATTTCCAAAACCATGTAAGTTAATTTAGGATGTTCAGTTGGTCTAAATTTTATTTGTTTATACTGGAAAACATGAAGCAACTGCAGTCTGTGATTTTTCAGGATACCACATGAAGTCTAGTTGGACTTACAGCTAGGCTGGTTCTCCCAAGGGGCACGAGTGTCTCACCAAGCTGGTGAGAGACCCATGGATCATAACTAGCCTTGGTTAGTAGAAAGCAACAGCTTCAGGAGGGACTTTGGCAAGCCAGGGCTGCCAGCTGGGCTGTGGGTGACAGGAACCAGCTGCCCAGGCTTAGTCTTGGCAAGAGAAAGAGCAATTAGGATCAAAAACCCAAACCAGAGCACTGGAGCACTGCTAGCCACTACTGCCCTGGCATGGACACGTAGCCTCAGGGAAAAGCAGCAGTTCTGCTTGGCTTCTGGAGAGCTGCTTTTCTTCCCTGAGGAAAGGAAAAGGAAAACTACCATGCAACAAAATCTAAAAGCTACTCCAGAAAATACGTGTACCTCATCCTCTTCTAGGGTAAATCCTGACAGAAGTGAGCACTAGAGAGTCATCTGTGGTTAAAAATGGATGTTGGGACTACACTAAAGTACAGGAAGAATACCATTAAAAAAAAAACAAAAAACAAAAACAAGAATCAACCACCAAACTATCAAGATAGACTGGGAGAATGATAAAAATAAGCATGAACATGCAAAAACAGTGACTGCAGGAAGAGGAGGAAGCATCCACAAAGCCTGCAGTGGGTATTTCTCAGAGATATACAGGCAAATAGCCACAGGAAGCAGGAGAATCAGACCCTTTGGAATATATTCTAAGGTTAGAGAGAAACAAATGGAGAATTTTATTAAATAACTGCCCGATAAATATTTCTTCATTCGGTGCGGGGCAAGTCCCTCAGTTCTCAATTTTGTGCCCAGGGGTTTTCCCACTGGGCAAGGTGAGTGCAGGGGAGGACAGCACAGCAGGGGCTTCCAAGCTCAATGGACTGGTGGGTGAAGTGGTTTGGGCACTGGTTGCACAGCCTGGCCCTGGGGAAGGGCTGGGGTGCTGCCCTGGTACCTCACACGGGGAGAGTGCAGCTGCAGGTACAGGGTGGGAGAGCAAACACCCCTCTGGCAGTGCTGGGGGGGACAGCAAGGATGGGGTTCCAACAGCCATCCAGTGCCTCTTCCAGAAATCTAGAGGCTCTCAAAGAGGGGGTGTTACAAAATACAAGAGTATTCTCTCAAGTCACGTACAGGGTTAAGCCTCACACATAAATAAGACCCTGCCTGCCTCAAGGTGGATAGTTTAAAAGCCAGACACAGTAGTCAAAAGATACAGGTAAATCCCCAGTGGATAAGAGAGCAACAAAAATAAAGATCTGGGAGATTCTTTTCTTATTTGAATGCTGTTTTCCACCCTAGGGTACATCACATATAATCCCATTTAAGTAAATAATGAAATCCACAAAACAAACAAAAAACCCCAGCCCAAGAACAACAACAACAACAAAAAAGCAGCAAACCCAAACACCTAAAATGCAAATACAAATAAAAGAGAACTCACTCAGCATTTAACTGGTTCCACTGTAACCCTGAGAAGTTCTGCAGTAAGCTGGTATGGAGGGGTCAGGTCAGGTGCTGTGCAGAAAATGTTAAAATACAGCCAGTGCTGACAGCCAAAGCCCCCCATGCTGGAGCAGGAGTCAGACAACAGGCACAACACTACAGAGGGACTGTGATGGCTTTGGGGGAGAATCTGCATTTGTAGCCATTTTCTTGACTTCTTAAAGAGAAGAAGTATCTTGTATTTTTTCCATTTGTTACATGAAAATACCTTTGCATTGAGTTGCGCAAGTGTGAAGAAAAAGAACAAGCAACAGTAGTTCAGGTTTCCCCAACAGTGGTTTTAGGCCCTCGTGTGACATTAAACCTCACAACAGTTCACTTTGTTCCCTTTCCACAGGAACAGTTTGAGCTCTCAGACCTGGCAAAGCAGATGAAGTCTGGCTTTAGGAGAGGTGACAGAAGTTCCCGGAGGCCCATGCCCTCAGTGAAAGTGCTCCACGCAGTGCCAGCTGAGGAAAGCTGGCCAGGAGCTGTCAGGCAGAGGCTCAGATTTAGCAAACGCAGCCCAAAAGGGAGCCTGGGCACAGCTGGATAGGTCAGATAACAGGTCAGGCTGCCAAGTCCCTCTCCCCATGTCCTTCCATCAGAAGCTGAAGAGTGAGTCCAGCCTACTCAATATGTGGATTGAATTTTCATGAAGGTGATCAAAGCAAAGGGCATACTCTGGTTCGAGGGAGAAGCTATCCACCAGCAGGGAGCAAATCGGATAAAGAACAGGCTTAGCCACGCTTCTGTCCCTGCCTGCTAAGCTAATTGTTCCTCAGGCCCGTTTTCCCTGTTACGCTTGAGATGAGGGGGAATCTGTGTTTTGGGGACTACTGGAATATTTGAGGTCTGAGAACATACAGCATCACTTTCATTGCAGTAATGAAGGCACAGAATGGCAGCTCTAAATGCTAAAGGTAATGATGCATTACCATTCGCTCTCAATTAATCCAGAGCCTGCAATGCCGAGTGCACTCACTCCGAGAATTTTCTCAGAAAATGAAGCTAGAGTGTATTTCATTTATAAATCACAAAAGACACTTATCTGGCAAGAATAACCCCTGCTCATATACAATAAATCATGAACATCAACAGTCTCTAATGGATTTTGAGTCAGTGCCACAGACAGTGAAGCCCAGGGCCTGTGTTTCAGGATTCCAGGACTGTGCCAAAGGAGCCTTATAAATTATTAATGCATTCAGCACAGTGTCATCTGTGCCACTGGAGAGAAAAAGACATTCTGGGGCTCCGTTTGTTGTTAAAAAAGTAATAATGGGTTCAGCAGGCAGACCATGCCTCTCCCATCCCTTGCCAGGATGAGCCAAGTTAGCTCCACACTTCATAAAATCCCTTCCCCAAACTTTCATACGCGCTCTTCATGACGAGCAGCATTCAGAGAAGAGAAAAAGAGAGGGAAAGAAGTCTGCTGTCACAAGAAGCCCACCAAAGCCAGACTTCCTGAGGGACAGAGCTAAGGTTTGTGTTCACAAATCTTGCAACAGGGAGATGCATCACAGAGGTAGCTGGGGCCTCTTTCTACTTTGCCATACGGTGAGGACGTGGGTACACAGAAAATTCAAGTTTTGGTCCCTACTGCTCAGTCTCTCATGCTTTTCAGTTATTCATCCCACAGTTTTCAACCTCTCCCCCTTCACTTTTGTCCCCATGGTTACTGAATCACTGTGTTCACAGAGATTTTCCTCACTAAAGAAAATGTGACTAACATGAGGCAGCTAAATTATCAGAGCCAACTCTGACATTGGTTTCTCCCAACATGGATCTTATCTTCAAAATGCCTTCAAATAGATCTGTTGCACTGGTACCAACTTTAAAGTAAGCAGCACTTCAGCTATTGACAGAGACAGAGCTGCATCAGTATTGCACAGGAAGATTTAAAATAGGCTGGAATCAGGTAAAGGATGACATTCAAACACCAGCTTTAGCAAACCCACAGCCTAGGACTGCATGATACAAATAACTAAAGAGATGCATTTCACCAGAAAAAATTAAATTAAGCCCAGAAGGGAAGGCATTATTTCCTGATTGGACCTGGGTCTAAGAGTTCAAGCAGATATCCTCTTCTTGAAGGCCAGTTTGGTTGAGCAGCAGGAGACATGCTTGTTTTAGGCCCAAAGAAATCTCTACTACAAAGTGCACCAAAACAGATCACTGGATAACAAGTGTAAAACCTCCAGCCACAGCAATCATTGCCTGCTGACCCACTGCTCAGTGGAGCTTCCCCCACACTGAGTAGCATAGGTGGTCCCAGGGAAGTTTAAACCAGATCACCTCCAAATTACCCAGAAAAAGATACAATAAAACTCGTTTGCATCAGAGAGGCCTTTCTCCCCTTCACTCGCAGCATCTGGTCAGCCACAAGAACCCAGATACTAAACCAAAGGCAGCAGGACAACACTTCATGTAAGCACCACCAGCCACAAGCCAGTAGAGACAAGACTTGAGAACGAACGTGGAACTCTTACCTTGGCCGCTACGGAGGAGTTGGGCTTCTCCAGGAGGTCCCAGAGCTTTTTCCTTTTCTCAGCACAGCAAGTGTTATCGAATTCCTCCCCTTCCCTTTCCCTCAGGGTCTCAGCTTCTCTCTTCAGCTCCTCGTTCATCTGCTCCTTCTTCTGGTGGTAGCGGGCCTGGCAGCAGGACTCCAGGTAGATCTCGTCCACCCCCCAGTAGTCCAGCTCCTGGCTGAAGGACAAGGCGCACATCTCCTCCATCATGTGCAGCTTGCCAGTACGGTAGAAGTTCAAGATTGAGGTGAATGCCCCGGGATGCCTGTCGAAGAAGTACTCGTTCTCCTCCAGGTTGTAGTCATCACAGATCTCCATGAGGGAGTCGTGTGTGTTGCAGTCTCTGAGCTTACCCAGCCTGGTCCGCGGCAACCTGTCCAAGGTCCGCCAGAGAACCTCGTGGGCCAGCCCCCCCACGTTGAGCTTGACCCTTCGGGAGCAGGCCTTGCTCCTGACGATCTCAGTGGGGTCCGGAGGCAAAGAGGTAGTAGAGCGAGATCCATGCTTATTCATCCCCAG